CCCGACGATACATAAGTGTGTTTGGGGTTGCAGTTTGGGCACTCGGTCTCTAAAAGGTTCGCCATCACTGCCCTATGCCATGGTGACTATTTTAGTTCCTTATTTGAACCTTATTATATATTGTTTTAAATAGAGAGCTATTGGGGAGATGAACTATTCCAATCAATTTACTCAATACTTAATAACAGCATTTTATATTGTGTATAGTAAAAATATTTATAATATATTGTATTTCATTTCATGTTGTCTGAGTAACAGATAATCTATATAGATATAATCTATAATAATAATCTATTATATATACTATAATCTATACATATCTGCAAAAACTATGGCTTTTGAAGCTATCGATATATATTTCCCACCAATCTGCCAATTAATACAAGTAAATGACAATTAAGAAACTAACTACAAGTTCCCTGCTGATCTAGTCCCATACTCCCAGCTGAATATTTCGAAGGTAAAACTTAAATTGTTGATTGTTTTTGATAATTGCAGTAGGAAACAACGGATCTGGAGATAGGTTATCGGTGGGCGGGGGGGGGGGGAGACCCTTGTTACTTTGATATTGTTTTCTGCTGAAAATAGTGATCCTGACCTGAATCAGTAGCCTTCTTTCACCTTAATACTGGGAGGGGAATTCTGCCTAAGCTCCTTGGTTCCCATAACAGAAATAATCTATAATCATGGGAGAACTCTTACAGCTTCCCTTTATCTCCCACTTCATTTAATATTCATTGGGAAGAAGGAAAATGCAAGAAGATGGGTATGACAGGATGATGATGTATTTGTATCTATCTCTACGTATGTATGTAGGTAAAATGTAAGAGAGGCTTGTATTAATTCACAAAGAATTGTTCCATACTGGTTCACTACAAGAAAGGTTTAGAATGGATATTATGGGCCTAGCTAGGAAATTACGTATTTTACTTTACTTTAATTAAATAGTGATGGGCAGACTTAATTTGACCCAACACCATAAGGGAAAAGATACACAAATTATATTCCTTGGCGAACCTATTTTCCTATAACAAAAGCCCTATGACTCAGGTTGTGACCAAAGACTGAGGTAGATTAGAATCTGAGTTAACCCACTTTTTAGACCAGCAACTTAACCATTAGATCACACTGGCTATTCTAACTATCCTTCCAATTATCTTTCTCCTTGAAATGCAAAAAAAATAAAAAATGAATCTGCTATTTTCTTCCCAGTTGAAAACAAAACAGGTTTTCAAAATCTAACCCTGAGATGTTCTGTTCAAATTCAGAATTCTTAATGTTTTCATTAAAATAAAAAGCAACAAGTTTCTAGACATTCACACATCTCCCATGTCCTAGTTAATTTGGTATTAGTTTTCTATCCAACCTGATGCTATACAATAAGAGATTTTCCATAAAAATAAAACTAGTATGGCGTATTTTATAAGTTTATATGAAATACAATATACATACTCTTAATTTTCCATCATCTTGTTGTGCATATTTCTGGATTGTAAGTGCATCATTATCTTTATGAGCAGATTCTTCCAACCAAGCCTCTAAAGCTTGTTGGTCCCAGTTCATTTGGGACCTTAAGGCTTCCAGTTTCTGACTCAGCTTGAAAACATTATTCTAATATTGATGGTGAAAAGAAATAAATATATAAGATGAAGGGAATATTCATACTGTTATTAAATCAATAAGCCAGTTATTATTACACTGTAACAAATTTATGTCTGGTATCTGGTTAAAAAAAAACCTTCAGTTTAAACAATGGCAGAATTAAATATGTATCTGACAGTTCTCTATTTGTCACCAAGTAATTCAAAAACTTAGTTAACTTAATCTGAACACAGCCACATTTACACGTCATACAAATAATTAATTTTGATTTATTAAATATGAAAAATTTATTGTGTGTGTGTGTGAACGATTTATTTTTCAGTATTTAACTCTGATGTTAAACAAAATGAAAGGCATACATAACAACATGTAAAATACTTAAAATGCAACACCTTCTATCTGGAAACACTGTTTTGTTCTTCTGGGTATCCTGAACTTGCCATTCCAGTAGTGATCCAGACGTTATTCCAAAATTGCACACTACAATTGACATGATCTGGAATATTCCAAGGTTTTCTAGAATTTCTAAAACTCCCAACCTTATTTTATTCTTATAAAATGGATTAAATACTGATACAAAGAAGGATTTCTATAGATTAAGGCAATCAGATATAACTGAGGTAATTTTCCTGAGGAAAAACTTAGAATTGGGAAAGCAATAAGAAAAAAAAACTTAAATCCAGCTTTCCCAGACTGGAACTTTCTAGACTACAAACCCCATGATTGTCCACTAGGTGGGGATATGTAGTCCACTTAAGAGACATCCTGCTGGGATGTCCAATTATTTTTCTTTCCTATAAGATGCAATATATGTATGTATGTATATGTATATAATGTATGTGTATGTATATCATTTTATCACAATATATTTATATATGCTGCAGTGTGTGTGTGTGTGCGTGCGCGCACGCACACACATACTGTTTATAACTCCATGATATAAAATATATTTTGTACTAGCTTCCAAACTCAATTCCTGGTATCTCCAATTAAAAAAAGAACAGATAACATACGGATAATTAAAATAAGACCGATCAACTGCTAGACCAAGAGAAAATTATGAATAAGTTTTCCATCTTCTATTGAAACAGAGGAGCATGTTGTTAAATATTTGCATCACTGGAATAACTGCTCCCAGAACCACTTATAAATGCACTGTTGTATTGTTTTCTTTGCAGCAACACAGCTGAAGAATAAGAATTGACAAAAAAATAGTGTTTGACAAGATATTTTTCAGATGCATAATGAAATATTTGAAACGTACTTCCTGACTATTTTTCTTCTCTCTTAGTGAAACCACATCATTTTCCAGCTTTTGAATCTCAGTCTTCAGGCGGCCCACTTCTCTCTCTGCAACAGCTTTAAAATGCTGCTCAGTTTCTATTTCATTCTGCCTGGCTCTGAAAAGAGACTTAAAAAACAAGGTTATTCATTACTTTGCCAGTTTAGTGAGCAATTATAATCTATAAAGTACTTTTAAAGTTTCATTCTCTTGTTTAGGTATTAGAAATTTAAGAAGAATGTAAAAATCAAAACAAAATACCCAAAGAATGTTGTTGTATAATTGTAATAAGCCCATTAATTGGTATTTATATAAAGATATGAATCTTCTATAAGAACAGATCAACACTGACTCTCTCAGATTAGTTTTCAATCCTTGGCACACAAAAAATTGAGATGAAATTTTCAATCCATTGTTGTAGTTTTCTGTAGCCCAGAACGGGAGAAAAATAGGATTAATTATATTTATATAACTTTACAGCCAAGAAGCAAGTGACTCAAGTGAACATTTTAATGGTTTTAATGGATTTATGAATTAGCAGGTATTTATGTGTTCTTTCCATCTGCATATAGAAATGAAAAATTTTAATTTGCATAGTTTTAATATTTTAATTGTTTTACTATTTATCTTTTTACGATCTGTAAGCCACCCAGAGTCATCTTATAGGGAAGTTGGGCAGCATATAAATTTAACAAATAAATAAACATATTACCAGATAACAACATTCCTTTCCCATACAAATTCATGAAGGTGTTATCTATCTAGAACTAACATAATAAATCCAATATCCAACTAAGTTCCTTTTTGTTTTATGGGCTATCATCTTATAAATATTTAAAATTTAGTTACACATATACAAAACTATATACTATTATTTTGCCTCTGACTATATAAAATGTTCATAAACTTTACTGGTAAATAATATGAAGCAGAAATGAATCTACAGATTTTATAAATACAACTAAGGGAATATTTTTTCATTATTTAAATATAAATGCAAAATAAAGACACAACAAGTGCCTTACATAAAGGGGGGAAAGTATAACTCCTATCGATTTGGGGTAGTGAAACTCCATGCTAAGTTTTGTTTTAAAAGGGCTAAGTCACTATCACTATGTGACTAATTTCAAATTGTTATGCATAGGATTACAGCTTCATACACCAAGTTAGCATGTTTGCTTTGAATCATATTGCATGTACTAAAATTATCATGTAGTAATTCTGCTTAGAACTGCTCATTAAGTTGTGCAATGCAATAAACTTACTGAAATTAAAAGATCTATGTCTGGTCAATACTTGGTTGAGAAATTGCTTCAGACTTTTATGTATGTTGCCAAATTCCATGACAGAGAAAAGTTGGATCAATGAATAATACTAATAGCAAAAATCTTAGGCTTACAATAGAATGAATGCATATAAAATTGTGCTTTATAATGCAGGTGATCAAAGTCTACAACCACTTACTTGTGTCAAATCAAACTCCTGTTTGACATTTTTCAAGTGTGAGGACATTGCTGTAACACGGTCTTCATAGTCGGACAACTGACTTTGCAAATTTGCTTTTTCTTTTTGCAACTTTTGCAACTGTAAAGCAAAAATCAATATATTTAATGTTTTAAAATATCAGAAAATGGAAGCACATAACAACATGACTATGGTGGAATGGAAATATTCTTGTTTTGCAAAGATAAGCCTCTGCAGAGATTATTTGGAAGAAATTTAATATTTTTCCCACACTTCATGCTTTAAAAAAAATAATTCTCAACCAAATGCAAACAATTCAAATGGGAATTTAACAACATTAATAAAACATATTCCTACATTGTGTAAAAATGTAAGATAAAATGATAAAATGTATAAAGCACTGTAAAACTAATAGTAAAAATTTAAAAATATCACAATAGAATTAAATCATTAAAAGATCTGAAGAAAATACCTGTAAAATGCCTATAATTGGGACAATAAAGACAGCATCAAGTGTATCTCCGTTAGAATGAAGTTCCTAAGTCAAAGGGCTGCCACTGAAAAAACTGGGAAATCTAAATCTGTACCATAAGCAGTCATTTTATTTAGACATACACCCCATGGTATTCACTATCCCATTATATTGGGCTATATACACCTATACAGTAGATATATACCCAGATAGTTCAAGAATGTGCCCTCAGGAAAGGCACCTGGAATGATCTCACGGCAATCACACCAGAAGCAGTTAAATTGTTAGCTTCTTTAGATATCGAATTATGACATCTATCCCACTGCTTCCCATGGCTTCATATTACGGTGATTTTATTATGGTTTTATCTTCATTTAATATGTTATCTCTTATACTGTACTGTCATTATATATTATTATATTATATTAATTATATAATATTCACACACACACACATATATATATACAGTATATAACTTTATTTAAACCAAATTTGTTTATCAGTGATTGTATAACCTCTGTAGATGCCATATGCTAAATAAATAAAAATAACCCAGACAGGTTTACATCCTATATGCATAGATGCATAGAATTAAACAAAATGGACCATGTTCTGAATCAATACACTGAGTCCCAGTAGTTTTGATGTCAAACCAGGGAAAAATCTGCTTTGCCACTTGAGTCTGGATTAGTGAACTGGAAAGTGAGGGAGTCTTCCATCATCAGTCCTATCAAGATGAGGCAGAATCAGAGCTGGGCAGCACATACATTTAAATTATTATTATTATTATTATTATTATTATTATTATTATTATTATTATTATTATTGTTGTTGTTGTTGTTGTTGTTGTTGTTGTTGTTGTTGTTGATCATCGCACAGTCAGCCAGATGTTCAGACTGGATTTGATATTTTTGTCTATCAAGTCATCATCATCATCATTATATTATTATTATTAAGATAAGATAACCTTTATTGTCATTTTTTTTACTGTGGGTATTATTATTATTATTATTATTATTATTATTATTATTATTATTATTATTATTATTATTATTATTATTATTATTATTATTATTATTATTATTATTATTCCAACAATGTGAAATCACAGCTACTGGCTCTTTAGCTGATCTTAGTTTTCATATGAAGTTCTTCCCAAGAACCTCAATAATGCAGATTATTATTTATTATAAATGCATCTGCCCCGCAACTCCTGGTCATGTCTGGTAATGATAATTATGATTAGAGCTGGTTGGAAGAAGAGCCCTCCAGAGGAGATAACAAGAAGGGAGAAACCAAAGCGGGGCCAAGAAGGAGCGGGTTTTCTTTATCTCAGTAGCTATCCTGAGTTACAGGGAAGAAATACTGCTACAGTATTAAGCTGAGGCAAACTGGGCAAATTTGTTTGGGCAAATTAACACCCACACAACTTCCCTGGAGATACGCAGAGATAGAGAATGCTCTCGTTCTCAGGCAGACATATAAATGAGGAAGACGGACATCGCCTCCTCGCCCTACTCATCTTGAGAGGAACCAGGTGTTTTTTTTTTGTCTTCCTGGCCTGCAGCCTCCATTGCCGGACCCTGCATCTAAACCAGGGGTAGTCAACCTTGGCTCTTTTATGACTCGTGGACTTCAACTCCCAGAATTCCTGAGCCNCCCCCCTTGCCTCTTCCTCCAGCGCCTTGTTTTCTTCGTTAGCCACGGGAATGGCGAACCCATCGTCCCAGTCAAGTTCGGCCAACACCAAAGCGGCAGAACCGATGACGGGGCAGCTGCCGCCATCGCCTTCGTCGCTCATGGCGCCCCTGCCTCAATTTGGCCGCCGCGGCTGCGAGGCCGCCGTTGGTTGCCTCAGCAACAGCCAGAACGCGTTGCCTTGGCAACCGCCGCGCGGAGCTTCGAGTTCCGGTCTACCCGGCTCGCTCGCGCGCGCGCGCGCGCGCGCGCTTACCGCCTCCCTTCCCAGCCTCTTTGCTGGTTGCAGCCGCTGTCAGTCACAGCTGAGGGGTTGCCGAGGTTGATGGGAATTGTAGTGCTCGGGCTCAGCAGGTGGCCGCACCTGGTCGGTTTTGTCTGAGCTGGGGATGACAGGGCTGTAGGTTAGCCGAATTCAGATAGGAGACCACCAGGTAATGCCAGGGAGTTTTTTTAAACAAAAAAAAATCCAGAAGAAGGCAATGACAAACCAGTTCTGGGGGGGCTTCAAATATAATTTGGAAAGAATGTTGTTGTTTTTAATATCTGAACAACTTGGTACTAGATTTTGGAAACAACTTCTGAATCTTAGATCTTCGCAAGCCGGTGGCTCAGTGTTGCTGTGGCATGAATCCAGATTTTACAAAAACTTTTCTAAAGAGATTTATCAATTCATATCTTTGAGAAAAGGCCTTTTGAGTAAATCATACAACCGTCCTCCTCCTATTTTCCCCAGAATAACAACTGTGTTAGGTGAGTTGGACAGAGAGAGAATGACTTGTCCAAAGTTATCCAACTGGATTTCATGGCTAAGATAGAACTTGAACTCATGGTCTACTTTCTAACAGAATAACAGAATAAGATGGATCCTCAAAAATTGTCTTGTATGTATCCTAATTTACAACCTAAGTGTTGGAGATGTGGAAATTTAGATGCAACTTATTTTCATATTTGGTGGACATGTAGGGAAGTTAAAGCATTTTGGATTAAGATATGGTGGAATATTCAAAATATTTTTAAGAAAAAGATAAAGTTCAAGCCGCAGATATTTTTGTTGGGTATTATGGAATGCAAAAGAAATGGAATTGATGTTGAACTTTATAACTGCTGCAAGACTACTAGTAGCTCAATATTGGAAAACGGAACGTTTACCCACTATAGAAGAATGGTCACTTAAAGTCTCGAACTTAGCAGAAATGGCCAAGATTTCCACTTATGTGAAGGATTATTCACAAGAAAGATATATTTTGGTTTGGAGAAGATGGATAGATTATATTGAGCGTAAATATGGGACCAAAAAATATCATTTGGTTTTTGAGTGAATTTTAGAGTATTATTGTTGTATAAAGGTTAGAATAGTTTACTTAGTACTATTTTAGTTATTAAAGTGATGTTATTATTATTGTTTTTAATAACTACCGGTATATATTTGTTTAAAAGAGAGTTAAAGGAGGTTATAGATATGTTATTTTAATAGTTGATTAATGTTAGTTAGATTATGATTATTTTATTGTTAACCCTGTGATTGGCACTGGGAAGTGAGGGGGGAGGGAGGGGGGAGTGGAAGGGTGGGTTGGGGAAGGGGGGGATTTATATTGTAAAATTTTAAAAAAATTTCAATAAAAAAAAAATAGAATAAGAGAGTTGGAAAGGATCTTGGAGCTGTTCTAGTCCAACCTCCTGCTCAGGCAGGAAACCCTATACTATTTCAGACAAATGGCTGCCCAATCTCTTCTTAAAAATCTCCAGTGTTGGTGCCCCCCACAGGTTCTTGAGACAAGTTGTTCCACTGATTAATTGTTCTTGCTGTCAGGAAAATTCTTCTTAGTTCTAGGTTGCTTCTCTCTTTGATTAGTTTCCACCCACTGCTTCTTGTCCTGCCTTCTGGTGAATAGGCTGACCCCCTCTTTTTTGCAACCCCTTAGATATTGGAAGATTGCTATCATGTCACCCCTAGTCCTTCTTTTCATTAAACTAGACGTACCCAATTCCTGCAACCGTTCTTCATACGTTTTAGCATCAGTCCACTAATCATCTTTGTTGCTCTTCTATGCACTCTTTCTAGAGTCTCTGGTATGGTGCCTTAACCACTAGACAAGGGGTGGCAAACTCGCAACGTCACGTATTGCGATTTTTTTCCCATTGCTGGCAATGGGGTGGGCGCGGTTTTGGCATGATGCATCTGGCCCCTGGGCTAGCAGTTTGGTACCCCTGCACTAGACCATACTGGTTCATTGGGTGACAAGCATGGTACACGGAGAATGCAAAGTAAATGGTAAAGAGCAGAGATTAACAAATAAAATGAAAGGCAGAAAAAATACATGGGTTTGTATCACGTTATAAGAGTGGGCTAAGATGATCAAAGGCCTGGAGACTAAAACATATTGTGGGAAGAATCCAGAGAAAGAAATATTTTGGGGAATATTAGAAAGGCAGAATATATTTCCCCAAAAGAATAATGGAGAAGATCTTAAAAAAAAAAAAAGACAGAAACCTCTCCCCCAAGCAGAAACTAGGCAGAGGCCAGCTTTTAGAAATGCAGATGTAATAATCCATTCAGGAAGGTTGGAGTCAGGAAGCTAAAAGATTAGGAAGACAAAGACACCTAAAATCTACATATCCCACCCAAACTCTAAAAGACATGACCTTTGAGGACATAATAGGATTAACCCACCAATACCAAAAGGGCACACTCAGACTCAGGTCAAGGTACATGACACAGGAAATACAAAACCTCAAACAGGAACAGGAAACAACCTCAAAAGCCCCAGAAGGTATAAAAACCCACCACTCCCAGCAACATGTGGTCAGCTTTCCCAGAGCCATCTTTCTGACTAGCTCTCCTCTTCAATAAACTACAACCTTCTTTCTAAAGCAGTCTCCATTTTGATTATTCCCAGCTTGGACTGGACCCTGATGAAGATTTTTCTTTCAACAATAAGAATGGCTGCAGGACTTGGGTTCAACTAGTCTAGAGAAAAGAAGGACTAGGGCTGACATGATAGCAGTATTCCAGTATTTGAGGGGCTGCCACAAAGAAGGGGTCAAATTATTCTCCAAAGCACCAGAGGGCAGGACAAGAAACAATGGTTGGAAACTGATCAATGAGAGAAGCAACCTGGAACTAAGGAGAAACTTCCTAACAGTGAGGACAATTAACCAGTGGAACAGCTTGCTTTCAGAAAAAGTGGGCCCTCTATCACAGGAGGTTTTTAAGAAGAGGCTGAACAGTCACTTGTCTGAAATGGTATAGGTTCTCCTGCTTGAGCAGGGGGCTGGACTAGAAGACCTCCAAGGTCCCTTACAGTTTCTATTCTATTCTATTCTATTCTATTTTAAAACAAATGCTGGTAGAAAAGTAATCAGGAGTCTGTAGTCTGTTACAGGGGATGGCTGCTGGATAAAAGAAGACGAAATGGCATTACATATAAAAATGAGCTTCTGCTCACTGTGTTAAAGAAAGTTGGATATGTCAGAAGAAACATAAAAATAAGTTGAATGCAATGGGAATTGGGTGTTTTAAGAAACGTGGTAAAACAAGAAGAATGAATCTCTTGTTAAGTGAATCTGGCTTCCCCATTGACTTTGCTTGTGCAAAGGTCGCAAAAGGTGATCACATGACCCCATGACACTGCAATGGTCATAAATATGAATCAGCTGCCATGTGTCACAAGACCAAAAGGATACCACAATGGTCATAAGTGTGAAAAGCGGTCATAAGTCACATTTTTCAGTGCCGTTATCACTTGGAATGGTCACTAAATGAACTGTTTTAAGTTATGGACTACCTGAAGGTGATGAAGAAATATAAATTACATAACAATGTGAGTGACCTTTATGAAAGATGTAGGTTGAGGTAGTTGGCCACACGTCCCACCTTGGCATGTGAAGAACTAATGTGCCTGGGAATGTTAATGTTTACTTCATATAAAATGCCATTATTCCAGTAGATGGTGCTGCCTGTCTGCATATATTTAATTCCAACTCTTTCATATTGAGTCCTTTGATATGAAAAGCATAACATTCAAAATGTATTAGTGGTATAAATGTGAAAACAAAACTTTTTTTTTTGCATAATGGAACTATGAGCCATATTGAATTAGATTTAGTGTCCCGTTGCAGATATCACTGCAATGATAAAGGGACAGAGCAGATATACTGGACTTCAGCTTCCAAAATCGGGAGTGTTGGCTAAACATTTGGGAGCTGAACTCTAACACATCCAAAGAATACCAGGATCAAGAAGGCTTTTGGGAGGCTGAGAGCTGTAGACCAAATGGGACCCCATCATATGAGGGCAAGTTATGAAGTTTGTAGGGTTTTGTTGCTTTTTCACCATATTCATCTAAGTGCTTTTATTGCAGCTTTCATCTGTTTCTCAACTCAAAACGTCAGCTTCAGGAGATGGTAAAAACTAGTACTTTCCTAGTCATTAAGATATTTGAAATTCTTGATCACATTTCCAGTACAGTTTAGAACCTATCATCCTACTAGTACATACAATTGATACTTAAAATATTGTTTGACTTCTTCATAGTCAAGAGTCAACTATCTTTGAATTTTTTAAGAAAGTTTCACATCCCTGGTTTCTACTATCACTACAGCCCTAAGATTGTGATACAAAGAATGCTGAATTTCACACAGTTGAGAACTAATTATCCTAGAGGGTTATTGATATATTGTACACACATTGCAGTACCGTAATCTTGAGTTCTATCATTGAGGCAAGATGCTATAGACTCAAAATTCTTATTTAATAGAGACATCAATTTGTAAGCATACTTGAAAACTCAAAATACCCTTGTATAGATGTAGCAATACATAACCAACTTTTTTTTATTACTGAACAAATCTTTTAGGGCCTGATGATGATGATTATTATTATTATTCTAGGAAAACCTTATTTCTAAGAAATGGAAAAGAAATACAGTGTAGTCTACATTTTACAGTACAGTAGTGAGATTTTATTGGAACATTGTGTTTTAAACGGACTACTTCAACAAGGAAGTTAAATTGGAAAGCATTCTGAGAAAAGCTATTAAGATAATAAAGAGTTCAGAAAATAATAATGGCGCGAAACATTGAGACTTTTGTTAAAGATTA